TTTTGAGCTGTTTTCATATAATTAGATTCTTTTTTTTTATGTTCACTAGTTGGTTTGAATATATTAAACCTTATTCATTTATTGTGCTACTACTTGCTATTTAGGATTTAATTCTAACTAAGTCTCTTATACTCATTCTATAACTGTGTACTTTCCATAAATGATTTTCTGCTCTGATATTTATTTTTATCTCTTTTGCTTTAACTATTATTCGACAAGCTAAATTATGCTTCCAATACATCATTTTTTTTGATCTTCTTTAAGAGTCTTAAATGTCTTTTACTAAGTCTGCTTTCTGATACTCTTAAGCTATTTTAAACTTTGTTAGATTACCTAAAGTATCTTTTCTATTAAGTTTTGCAAATAAACTGCTTATTTGCTTTGTTGCTATCTCTTAACTTAGTGATTTACAGTTTTTCAGATCTTTGTACTCAATTATGCAATTATTTGTTGTTTTCATTATATTGCAATTATGTTTTGCTAAACATATTATTGGCTAATAGATTTTGTTGATCATTTTTTCTAACATTTTTGTTAACTGCAAAAGATATTCTAATTTTAAAATTATTACTATATTGTTTAAGTATGTAATCTGGCTTATTGTTATTTTTTTTTTTTTTTTTTTTTTTACACTAAGGCCATAGTTATCAGTGGCTATTGCCTTTATTGTATTTAATTATAATTACATAACTTATACAAGGTAAATATACAACTAGTCATATGTACAACTTTTGGTTGTCTATTTTAAATAATCTACTCACACAGCAGGTTCTACACTAGCTGTTATATCTGCAATCTATTAGAAGATTACTTATTTAAACACTCTGATCTCTATACTTATACTAACAAATAGCATACAAGTTCTTATACATCTAAGTGCCATCTAATCTAACTGTGATCTTTTTATCTATACATTCATCAAGCCATTATACATTTCAAAGTACATCACCTAACTGTAGAGCTCCAGATGGCCCTTCTGCTAACTAACTACTCATATTTAGTATCTTGTTAACAGGGCTCGTTCTTGCAGAGTTCACCTAGACCCTAGCACCAACTTCATAGCATATCCCTAGTACTTATAGTATACACCTGTTTCTGACCTCAGACTCCCAATTTAGATAGCCTAATAGGACTATAACCTGTTCTTGGTACCCCAGGATCTGTCCCTTAAGGTTCTTTTCCTCCGGTTCGAGACTTCTAGCAGCCTGGTTAGTAGTACCCCTTATTCAAGGTTTTTGCCTATCTGATTTCTTCTATATTTGTATCTATTTCCTAGGTTTAGCCTTTACAGTAGTACTGTCAAAGATCTGTGCTATCTCTTTACTCGGGTCTTTTCAAGTAGGCTCTGGTTTCTTAGTTCACAGATTTATATGACTATAAGGACTTATCTTGAGTTTACACTACCTAATGCTAGTTTGCATTTCTCTGTATAACTCTAATATTGTGCAGATGCCTTATAACCTGCCAGTTATCTGGTGTGACCATGTTACAGGTACTGATCCTAACTGATTAACAGAATGCTATTGTTGTAATACTGCTTACTTTCTGTAATACTGATATAACATAGGTGGTTTTCCAAATTTTTGTCATCAGTGAGTTTTGAACTCCCAACCTATCACTTAAAGAGTTGATAACTTAACTACTTTACTAAATTACCACACTCCTAGTTATTTTTTTATATCTAAGATCTTTAACTGTTTGGTTAACTATTTCTTTTGCTTTTTTGCAGATTAGTGACTTTCTTATTTTGCTGTTTAGCCAAATTTCTAATGATCTTATAATTTTGTTTCTTGGTTCTTCTGTTATTCTACTCTGTCCAAATGTAATTTTTTTATCTTTCTTTCTTAGTTTAGAATTCATTACTATAAGCTTTAACTTTGCTTCATTTATTTCAATATCATTTGCTTTAAAGAACTTCTCTGCAATTTAAAAACTCTTAGCAGTTGGTTTTTGCTATTTGCAATCCATGTAGTATCATCTGCATAAGCAATTGCTGCTTGTTTATGTTTTGTAATACAATTAATATCTGTATTTTTTAGTATTTCTTGCTTTACTACATAGCCTAGTGATTTATCTTCTTAAATTTTTTCTAACAGTGGATCATAGAAAAGCCACCAGACGAGTAGAAAAATTATCTCTTCTTGATTTATACTATCTTCTGCTATTATTTCTTCTGTTAGACTATAAGCTGTAATTACCTTAAGTTGATATTTACAGAAGAGATTGATAATATATTTTATTGTTCTTTGTAGTACTTTAACTTTTTTAAAGCCTACTTCAAGCTTTTTAATAGGACTAAATTAAATGTCTTCTTCATGTCTTGTATAAGTATTTATATTTCTTTATTTTTCTCTTGTACTTCTTTTATTATTATATTTAGCATATATATTAGTTGCTTTGTTGAGTTGTCAGACAAGCCTGCATAGTTTGGTCTTTTGAGTATTTCTCTTTCTATAAATATCTTGCCTAGCCTTCTTGTTATCATTTTTGTAACTAACTTTTTAAAAGTCTTAATTAATACTATTGGTCTAATATTGTTCAGATTATATTTTCAGTTTACATCTTTTGAAATTGAATAAACTTGTGCTATTTTCTACTTTTTAGACATTTCTTCTGTTTCTAAAACCAGATTTGCAAAGGCTCTGAAGATCTTCTGTAATTTTTTTTCTGCTCATTTTATTAAAGTGTAGCTTATATTTGAAATTCCTAGAGCTGTATTGGCTTTGAGTTTTTTTAATATGTCTTTCTATTCTTTTTCTTCTATCTTTTCTTCTAACTTTTCATATCAGAACTTCTTGATTTACTCTTTTGAGTTATATATTTTTATTCATTTCTTAGGCATCTTTTTTAGTTTGGTTCTTTGCTTTCTGAATTGATTTTCAAAATGTTTTGCCAGATCATCTAAAACAGTCTTAGATTCTGTTATTAAACTGGTTTCATCTTCATTTTGAATTATAAATTTGTTCAAAACTATCTTTTTGTATAGTTTGTTCAAAAGGTTAGCAATCATTTATTCTTTATTAGTTTTTATTATCTTACATCTTCTATTTATATTTTTGTTTATCTATTTTCTTTGAGCTTGTTTTTACTCTTCTTTTCTTTTGTCTTTCAAGATTCTTTGTCAGTCTTTTATGTCATCTATCCAAGCTTCTGACCATTGTTTGTATAGCTTTAGTAATACTTACAAGTTAAATGAATAAATAAAAAGTGAATAATAGGTAAATAACAGAAAAAAAATCTGCCATTATTTTACCTTATATCTGCCAAATAATGGCAGCATAATAGCAGCATAACAGCAGAATAATAGTAAAATAACAGGAGGTTTGTTGATATGAGTAACATAACAGTAACATAATAGCAAAATAATAGAACAGTTTTATTATTTTACTTTTAGTTACAAAGACTAAAAGTAAAATAATAAAACTGTTCTATTATTTTGCTATTATGTTACTGTTATGTTACTCATATTAACAAACCTTCTGTTATTTTACTATTATTCTGCTGTTATACTACTGTTATGCTGCCATTATTTGGCAGATATAAGATAGAATAATGGCAGATTTTTTTTCTGTTATTTACCTATTATTCACCTTTTATTTATTTATTCAACCTGTGACTACTCCTATTTCTTTACTAATGTCTATAAGTTTCTTGTTTATTTCTTCTTTTTCTTCTTTTTCTATCTTTTAATTTCTTCTTATTTTGCTTTTTTGATTATTTGTTATAGTTCAATTATGTGCTTATGCTGCTGCAGCTTCTTTTGATGATGTCTTCTATTTGCTTTTATGTTAAATATTTTCTTTTTTGTAATTTTTTTATTTACTGCTTCTATTATAGCTTCTTCTATTGCATTTCATATATGGTTTAGCATATTTGTATAATACCAACTGCTTCTTCTATTTTTTTTTAATTGTTTTAATGCTTTTTTTCACTCTAATTGTACTTGAAGCTCTTTAGCAAATTCTCTCCAGTTTTCTTGCTTTGCTTTCTTATACAAATATATTGTTTTTATTTAGTTTTTATGTTTGGTTTTTGTATAGCTCTAGTTTACAATTATGTGTTTTAACTATATGACTAATGATGGGACTTTTTAATTAATAATTACAAATTTTTAACAATTAAAAATTAAAAATGAATTATTAAATTAAAAAAGATTTTTAGCGATTTAATAATTAATATAGATAATATGTATAGAACATCTTTATAGAAAATGATATAATCATTGTTTAATTTAAATCCTGCAGATTTTTGATAAAATTACTGATAAAATTAATAAGCATATGTATTATCTAAAAATTGTAATAATTCTTGTTTTATTTAATAAAATATAAAGAACAATTAATTAATATATAATAAATATGCACAAAAACAAATAGTCTAAAATATATTTTAATTTGGTGAAATTATGTGCTGATTGTGTATTATATTAAAACAGTAGCAATACTCAGGATTTTAACATTCAACATTTTTCTAATATGTGCAAAATAATTAATGTTAACTATATAATGTTAAATTCTTTTGCCTGTTTAATAATTAAATATAGTGGATATTTCTTAGAAACATAATGTTATTTATCACATAAAAAAATTATCTTAATCAATCAAAATTTGTGGCCAACAAGAGTATATTCTCTGTAACTGCATTTTATTTATACTTTTTCTTTAGAAATACATATTAATTAACTAGTCTAATGTAATTTATATGATATTATATATAGTTGGGGTTAAATTGCTCTCTATAAGTGCATATTCTACTGGCACATTTTTTTGACAATGTGCACTTATAGAGAATCAGCTATATAATAGAAAAGAAAAAAGAAACTTTTAAATAAATTAAAGATATTTTAAAAGTATATTAAATTAATATATAATTTAATTATTATCTTTATATATTTAGTTGCTTATATCTTCCAAGTATTTTTTTTATTTAAACAGCATATTCATGATAAAGAATTTTTGTTTTCTTAAATAAATCTACTATAAAATTAGTTGGCAATCAAAATGCCATTAAAATCTAAACATGAAAGAAAGCAAAGACCTATTTGGGATCATTTTGAACAAGAAAAGTTACTTAGTTTAACTCATTATGAAGCTATATACATGTACTGTCATAATTCAATATATGGAATTCCTGAGCAAATGCTAAGACACTTAAATGAAACTTGTGAAAAAATTGGAGAAGATATTCAAAGTACCTTAAGTAATATTAAAATAAACCGTCATCAAAAAAAACATCGAAATACTAATTCATTAAAATGATGTAATAATAAATCTATTTGAACTAATATAAATTCAAGCAATAAGGATAGTTATGATAATATTAATAAATATCAAGCAAATAATTCAGAATACAAAGTGAATAATGATCAATCTCAAACAAATACTTTAGAATACAAAGTGAATAATAATTATTTAATTCATTGTCAATTATTATGGGCTCTTATTTTAGCAAATGTTTCATTCTCCTTTATAGAAAATAAAGAAGTTCAAAAATTGTTTAAAATGCTGCAACCTTCTTATATATTACCATCTCGAAAATGAATTAGTACTGAAATTTTAAATAATATATATAAAGAAGTTTAAATAGAAATTCAAAAATTTGTTGATGATTCTAAATTTTTAACATTATTAGAAGATGGATGGACAAATGTTTCTAAACATAGTTTGGTTAATTTTATTATTACAAATGAAAAATGACAAAGTCAAATTTGGAAAATCTCTGATTTTTCAAACCAGTATCATATAGGTATAAGAATATTTAATGCTTATAAAGAAGTAGAATTGCTATTAGGTAATAAATGAATTGGATTTGTATCAGATAGTGGCTCAAATATAGCAAAAGCACAACAAATGATTAATAATGATCTTGAATTGCAATAAAAAATTATCATGATACCTTGTATGGCACATCAAACTAATCTATTAGTTAAAAAAATTATTAAGTCTAAGCAGTTCAAATCTGTAATTGTTAAAATGCTTTCTGTTATTAATTACTTTCGTAACTCAAATTATGCACTTGCCAAATTAAAAGAATTAGAAAAAAATGAAAATTTAATACCTCAATATTCTTGATAACAAGGTGGTCAACATTTTCAAAAGCTGCAAAAACTCTTTTATTAATTTGAAATAGTATATGAGTTATGTCTATTACTAATTCAGATCTTTTAATTATAAATGGAAATGACAAATATAAAATAATTAATATAATTGAAGATGCAGATTTTTGAACAAGACTAGAAAATTTTTTTCATATATTAAACCTATATAATTATATAGTAAAAGTTTTAGAACCTGATAAGATAACACTTAAACATATTTCTGTAACTTGGGTTTGGCTCAGAAAGGTTATTGATAAATTATTTGCAAACAATCTTTCAGATTTTAAAACCTTAATATTAAATGAAATTGATAATAGATGGGTGAAAATTTATAATCCAATCTTTTTAATCACATAGTTTTTACACCTATACTATCATGATCAAGAACTAAAAGAAGAAAAATTTTTACAATTACAAGAAGATGCATATAGCCTATTTTGTCTATTATATCCAGAAAAGAACAATAATGCATTTATAGATGAATGGCTAATGTATCAAAATTATGAAAAATTTTTTGATAAAAACTTATCTCTTAATCATCCTAGCATCACAAAATTACCATTAAGATATTGGCAAACTGTATTAATCTATGCTCCAAATTTAGCTAAATTTGCATACAGACTTTTTTCTATACCTCCAAATTTAGCAACATCTGAAAGAGTATGATCATTAATAGGAAACATTCATACAGAATGATATAATCAATTATCAGTTCCTAGAACTGCTAAAATGGCAAAAATTGCATGGTATTTAAAAGATAAATCAGATAAAAATAAAGATTTAATATCAGCAAATATTGATATACTAGTTCATGATGAATTAGATGATAGCAATATTGAAGTAGATAAGATTATAAATAATTTAGAACAAGTTTCTTTACAAATGATCGATGATATAAAAAACTTAAGTTTAAATAGTCAAAATGATTTTTTAATTCCTTCTCTTTTTGAATTTTTTAATCCTTAATTAGTTTAACAAATGATGATTTATGAAATAAACTTAAATGTTTAATATTATACTCAGTATTACTATATATTAGAAGAATCTATTAATAAAGTATGTATTAAAGTAACAATGATGAATTTAATAATAGCTATAACAGCAATGAAACTTTAATTAAGAAATTATTATATTTGCAATACTTCTTTAGTTATATTCTAAGTATTAAATATGACTGTGGAACTTTCGATCGATCATTTAAATAGGTATTTATAATAAATTTAATGAGACTGCTAAAGCCAGTTAAGTATAAATGCTTGTAACAGTAAGTTTGTAATAGTAAGCTTTGTAATGGTAGTTTGTAATCATAAGCTTGTAACATTAAGTTTATTGTTTATTTGGTATTTCAATTTTTTTAAATTTTATTGCTATCACTATAAAAATTACTTTAAATACCTTTTGTTTTTTTTTAGTTATTTAAATACTTAAAAAACTGTATTATTCATAAGCATATTTGAAACTTAATGCATAGAACTATTACTAATATGCATATTTTATGATTTATTGCTGATTATATCATTCTATTGATACTTTCTATGCATCAAATAGATTTTAATTATTAAATCATTAAAATTATTATTAATTCTTAATTTTGAATTTAAAAATTAAAAATTAAAAAGTCCCATCACTATATATGACTGTTGTTAATATCTTATAATCACTGCTTGTTATATCTTCTGCTTCTTCTATATTGACTTCTTAAAGATCAGTTGCAATTGTTTCTGACAACCAGATATAGTTAATTCTTGTTGCTGCTTCTTAACTTGACCATATTGTTAACCTACAAAACTGACCATAACTCTTGAACCACTAAACAGAATTCGATGAAACCACCACTATTTGAATCAGCTTACTGAGACGGTTCTAATGAGGTATAGATCATCAATTTCTGATTACAGGATTCCAAGATCAAATCCCATAACCAAATTAATAAGAAAGCTCCAATTTGATTGGTTAAATAATTACTGTGTGAAATGTTATACATATCAAACATATAATATTTATGTGATTTGAAACATATATTTTATATTATATTTAGTTTATATATATTATTTAGTTTATTTCTTTTATTTATTTTATATATCAAATATATCT